TCAGGTTACCGGCGCTCACAACTGCGGGAACTCGGCCGTGTTAGAAACGCCGAGCCTCGGCTCGTTCACGGTGAAGTCGCGGCGCCCAGGCTGCTTGCCGCGGAAGTCCCTGCGCTCGCCGCGGAAGTCGCCGCGCTCGCGGGAGTCATGAGGCTCGCGAGGCTGACGCGGTCCGCGTGCTTCGCGAGAGTCACGTGGGCCACGCGTCTCGCGAGGACCACGGGGGCCACGGGGCTCGCGCTGCTCGCGAGGCTCGCGCGGCTCACGCGGCTCACGCGGCTCACGAGGTTCGCGAGATTCGCTCGGCTCGCGTGGCGCGCGGTTCGGCTGCGACTCGCCGTCACCGCGCTGCTCGGAGTGCTCGTAACGACGCGGCTGGCGGTCGTAGAAGCGTTCGCCAGTGCGGTCCGCGCCGCGCGCGCCAGCCGAATCGTCAGAGCGACGAGGACGGAAAGGACGCGCGCCCGGCCGCGCGCTGCTGCGCGCAGGCCGCGAACCTCCGGAGAACGCAAGACCCACGTCGTTGTTTCCGCTCATGATGTGACTGGGGCCTTGTGCGGCGGCCTTGCTCTTCGCAAGCTGGCTGACACGCGTCTTCGTGTAGACGTCTTCCGTGACGGAGGCGGCGTCCTTCTGCACGGCCTTCTCAGCCAAGGCTTCCTCTTCTTCGCAATCCTGTTTGTACTTCTCGTACGACACGAAGTTCGCGCTCGGGGCCAGAGTCCCGTCGCTCGTCAGGTGTTCCGCGCTTTCCTCAATGTCGCGGCGAGACACGTAGTTCGAGCCCCAACCACCGGCCCCGGCGCCCTCCTTGCGCAGGCGACGCGTGCGGCCATTTTTCGAGACGCGATCGTCCTTCATGGGGGCGCGCGACTTGCCGTCGCGGTGAACCTTGGCGCTGAGCGCCGCGTCCCGCGACTCGGCTTCGTCCTGCACCGTCTTGTTCTCCTCTTCAGCCGAGGCAGTTTTGCCGCCGGCGGAGCCGCTGGTCGCGCGGGTACGCGAGTTGCGAGTTGCGGTGTGGCCCTGCAATCGCTGCAGACGCAACTTACAGTCGATTCGAGCCGAGCAGTGCCGCGAGTGACCTCGTCCTCGCTTTGCTCGTCCAAAGCTGCGAATGCGTTCTGCGTGCGCACGGTATACATCTGATGCATATTTCGATATGCTTAAAAAAAGCTAAATTGCGGTTAACTGCATTTTTGTCTTGCTGCCGCGAACTAGCTGCGTCTGTCTGCTGCGCGGCCCGACCTGCTGGCTGCGCTCCACTTTCGCTGTTCCCGTTCCGATCCGTCACCGCCACGGCTCTACAGGCCGTTTGCGACTGATTCCCGCCAACGCCGACGCCGACGCGATTGGCTTCCGCTCCGCCCATGCGCGAGTCCGACTTCAGCGCACGTGACGAATACTCTGTCGTGTCCGACCTCATCTCGACGCGCTACTTTGGCGAGCCTGCCGTTCGCGCCAACTGCTTCGCGCCGCGCGGCGGCCCGAGCGTACAGCCCAACCTCGACGAGCTGCAGACGCGACTGCGAACGCTAGCGACTGCCCTCTGTCTCGACCCGCACAGCCTGGTCGCGCTCGAGCAGCGCTCGTCTGACGCGTTCCGCGCCGAGCTGCAGGATCTGTCTTGGCAAAGTTTGCTGTTTCTGGTGATTTCCGACGGCGTAGTTATCGGTGTGCAGCGGCGCGGCGAGTTGCTCGAGATTCTGACTGCGCTGAAAGCGCTCGCGCTCTGCTCCGCGCAATCGCTGCAGCGCGAGGCAATATTCGCGGGACTCTACCTTGCGCTCGCGCTGCGTGAGCTGCAGACGGCGTCCGAAGTGTGCTTCAAAACCATAGATCTGATTGCGACGGTCGTCAACATATTTGGCGCTTCGCGCGTGGACTTGCTGGCGACTTTGGCGGTCTCCGAACTACCGTATTTTCTTTTGTGTACCCTTATATGTGTCCAAGAGCAGTGCGTGTCTTCGCTGCTCAACAGCACGCTGCTGCAGATTGTGACCGCGCCGACCATCAGCGGCGCGAGCCGCGAGTTCCGCTCGCTTTACGAAGAGCCGTTTTTCGCACAACAGCGCGCGCTGCTGCGCGCGCGCGGGCTGCGCGTTGAATACTCGCCACAGTACGCGGCGCCGCGGCTCACGCTCGCGAACTTGCCTGCGTGCCGCCGGCTCGTCGCGCACGGCGACCCAAACCCGCTGTACCTGACCGAAAACTGCTGCCGCTGCGACGCTGCACTGACGTTCCTCTTCCACGGCTGCGTCATCATCAAGCAGTGCTTTTTGCTGCTAGCCGCCTCGAAGAAGGGCGTCGCTGCCGCGCAGACCGCGCTGCACTCGCAGACGCTTGGCGCGCTGTTTGAGTTCCTCGCGGCGCCCGCACGCAGTGCGCTGCTCGGCCGACCGATAGAGCAGTTGTTCCACAAATACTTGACTTTCTACAACAGCCTGCTCGTGCTGCTGGTTTACTCCGCTCCGAACAAAGCTGAGCAGATCTTCAAACTCTCTTACAACAAACTGCTCGCAAACTCTGCCGGATTCTTCTTCATCCACTGCGGCGGCAGTGCCCGCGCTGCCGAAGCGAGCGGCGAGCTGCAAAGCTTCCCGCTCCCCGCAGTCTGCAACGCGCGAGCTGTGGAAGACGGCGCCGCTCTACTCGGCGAGCCCCATGGCAATCCGCTCGACAACCAGCTCGGTGAACACCTAGACGACCAGTTGGAACGCGAACGCGCCGAATGCAGCGACGACCAGCTGGATGACCAACTGAAAAAGCGGCTCTGCGCGCACCTATCCAATCAGCAGCTCTCCTCCCTGCCCGAGCTATTTGGAAAGCAGCTCGACAGCCGCTTGGAGAAGCAGAGTGTCGAGCGGCTCGACAGCGCGTTCTACGAGCAGCTGAGCACTCGGCTGGGCGAGGACTCCGCGGAACGCAGCGACGTGAGCTTCGGCGCCGCGGCTACCTCGAGCGCTGACGGAGAGCTTACAACACAGCGCGGCGACGCGGAAGCGCTCGCGGCGCAGGCCTCGATTCAATGGTTCGTGACTGTGAACGCGTTCCGCCGAACGATTCTCGAGCCAACGATTCAGCTGGTCCTCTGCAACAACCGCGCGGCGGACCTGCTGTTCGACTCTGCCATGCTGCAATTCTGGCTGCACACGGGCGGCGCGCTGCAGAGCACTTTCAACGGGCTGCTGCAGCTCGTGAACTCGAACTGCACGACCCGCTGGTTCTTGCTGAGCGTGGCGACACTTGTGGAAAAGACGTTCTGCTGCGCGAACGAGGTGCAGGCGCTTTGTCGGTCCGAAGCACTCACGCGGTTCGTCGCGCTGCTGGAGAAGTGCCTACTGAACGATTCTCGCGTCAACGCCGTTTTCCTGTCGTCGGGAGCGCCAGATGCCGCGCGCGCCGACGTCAGCACACACACGTTCTCACGCTGCGAGCTCGTCGCGGCGGTCGCTGCGGGCAACCTCAGCTTCGAAGTCGCGCACCAGGACTTCTGCATCAGTTCCGGCGCCATCGTACACCCGCGCTTTCTCGAGGACGCGCAACACGCTCAGCACGTGATAGCGCTCCTCCTGAAGGACTTCGCGCGCTGCATCAGCAGCATACTGCTGCTCAAATACGTTGAGCACATCCGCTTAACGCACGCCGCCGACGGCACGCTGTTTTGCTTAGAACCGCAAATCAGCGAGTTAGACCAAATCTTGGTTGAAGAGTGCGCGCGCTGGTCAGCCGCACTGCCGTACCGTGGAAACGCCGCGTGGACACTGCCGCTGTTCTTGCTGTCGCACTGCTACCGCTTCTTGGCCGACGTCGACGTTGCGCCCGCGCTGCTGCTCCGCGTGCTGCTGCACAAGCGAAGCTCGCTGTCCGCGCCGAGCCTCGCGGTGCTGTTCAAGAAGCTGTGTGGAGCGCTCGAGCGCGCGCGCTGTGCGCCCAACTTGCAGCTTCTTGGGCGCAGCCTGACCGGCGGCGCGCGAGTCGAGGAACCGCAGCCCGCGACCGGCGCATCTCGCGCGGCAGCCTACATCGCCGAGTACGAACGGTGCGAAACGTATGCCTCGCTGTTGACCGCCGTAGTTTGGGGCGTCGCGACGCTCTACCGTGAGGCCGTCGACGCCAGTCTGGTCAGCTTCTTCATTCAGCTGCAGCGAGCGCTGTCGGGCGGCAAAGATCGCGACCACTCGCGCCCGCTCGACTTGCGCCTGCTCGAAACGCTGCCGCAGCTGGACGTCGCGCCGAGCGAAGTGTACAACTTGTGTTTCAGCTACGCCAACGACATGGCGCTCTACGTCGCACAGTCGTGTCTGTTGTTCTCGGACGACGTAGTCGCATACATTCTGTTTCTGTCGCGTACAATCAACGATGCACGCTTTAGCGACCCCGCGGTAAACGCGCTGCTCGCCGCGCTACTGTTCTACTTGCAAGTCGACGAGGCCAACACAACGGAGATGCTCAGCAAGCAAAACACCGTAGTCTGCCGGGACTGCGGCTTGCTAGCGCGAAATGTGAGCAGCCTGACCGCGCTCACGCTCCTCGATTTAGTCTCAGACTACATCTCGTTCAATCGCGACTGCAAAGCACCTGCTTTCGCGCATCTCTGTCTCCTGCTGTCGGCAAATTGCTCGCTGCTCAACTCCGTCTCGGTCGTCAAGCTGTGCACTACCATTCAGCGGGTGCTCGCCGCTTGCCGGTTTGCGGCAGACACGCCGAACGGCGCAATCGCGCCGCAGTTCTGCATGTTCCGACTGCAGAGCGCGAGCGCGCGCTTCGGCTGCGAGTTGCTTTCGCAAAACGCGAATTTCGTCGAGTGCGAGCAACGTTACAGCGACGTCGACCTGTTGCGACTGTTCAGGCAGAGTCTGCTCGCGTGCTGCACGAGCAGCAGAAAGGCCGTAGTCTATCTGTCTTGTGTGCGCATCTACTTCGCGCTCAGTGAGTCGGGTTACTTCGCGGACTCTTTTCAAGAGGACTTCTGCGCGCTCGTCGCCTACGCTTTCGAAAGCGTGCAGAATCTCAAGCAGGAGGAGATGCGCGACGTACTCAGACTGCTCACGCAACACGCACTGCCCCACCCGCGCGTCCGCAGCCAGCTCTTCAAGCACTTGCTAGACTGCAGCACCGACATTGCGATTCCGTTCATTCTGCAGCTCTGCGTCGCGGAGGAAAGTGACGTGAGGTTCTGCGAGCGCCTGAAAGTCGACGCGGGTCGTAACAGCTTCACGCTGTGTGAGTACTGGCGCGCCGTGTCTGATCTGCCCACTGAGCACATGCTGCTTTTCCTGCACAGCCTGCTGCTGGACGCGCCGGCGCTGACTGCAGATGCGACAAGCTTTGCGACAGAGTCGGCTTTCTTCGGCAACTTGCGAGACATGACCCTAAGCTGCAACGAACCCGCGTATGCCAAGCCGTGGCTGCGCAGCGTACAAGAGCTGCGAACGCCGCTGTGCTCGCCGTTCCCGTTCGCTCTTTACGCGGCGCATATAGCTAAAAAAATCCAAGATTGCGCGCCAAACGCGAGCACAGAAAAGAGCACTGCCACATTCGACAGCGCCAAGCAGCTGCTCGCGAAAATGCTCTCTGCTCGCGCCAGCACGGAACCTTGCGAGTGCTTGGCTGCGATGTTGCTATACCACTTCGCGTGGCACTTAGCCGTCGAGCAGCGCCACTGGCAGCTCGCGCGCGCGCTTGTGCAACTCATCGCGCTGTGCGACTCCGAGCACAAGCAAACGCTGCTGCTCCTGGCGACGCTTCTGCACGACGCGGTGGTCCTTGAGCTTCCGGAACTTTCGCCTACGCTGGCAGAGAGTCTCGCAGCCGACCTGAAGCCGCTTGTCCTGAAGAGCGAAGCCGCGCTTTGCGGAATGCTCTTCTTTAACTTCAAACGAGAAGACATTGTGCTCGAGCATTTCGCCAAGTTCGCCGCGCAACTTGACGAATCGCGCCTCTTGCTTGCGGCACGGTTCTGCGCCCAAGTCACCGACCCGCGCCGGCTCACAGAGAGCCTTAAGCCACTGCTCGCGCGCCTTGGCGAGAGCTGCAAGCCGCCGCGGAAGAACTTGCTCTCGAGGCTTGCGCCTTTCCGCGCTGTGCAGCCTCGAACCGAGCTGCAAAAAGCGATTGACGCCGTCAAACAGCGTGTGGCAGACAACGACTCGCTCACGCAGCTGCTGTGAACGCGGTTGCGTCTCCGCCAGGAGTTTACGCGGGTACCGTCGCCGGGTCCGTCGCCGGGTCCGTCGCCGGGTCCGTCGGCGGCCCGGTCGCCGAACCCGTCCTTTGCGCCGCCATCGCCGCTTCCAACGGCGCCGCTGCAGGCGCTGCGGCAGAGGACAGCCCGGGAGCCGAGGCGGGAACTGGCGTCGGAACTGGGGCGGGAGCCGGCGCCGCAGGCGTCACTCGAAGCTGATCAGCGGCTTTGTTTGCGTAAGCTCCGGCGGCACCGGCCTTCTTGCGCTCCTTCTGCAGCTGCGCGATTTTTTGCGTCTTCTTCAATTCCAGCTTTTTGATGAACACGTTGAAGTAGTTCAGGAACGTCTCGCGCTTCAGTTGGCCCACGGAGCGCTCCGTCTCGCCGAAACGTTTTGCGATCGCGACGAACATTTCGTCGGCTTTTTCCACGAGGTTGTGCGTCTCGGCGATGTCTGCGTTCGCGCTGTTCACGAACGACTTCAGCTTTCGGTCCAGCGGATCTGGCGTGCGTGCGCGCGCGTTTTCCTCTTCAACCTTGTCGACCAGCCGAGCCACGCTTTTGTATTCGTCTTCGATTTTGCTCAGGTCGTTGAGTACGCCGGCATAGTCTGTGGTCGCGGCGAGCTCCAGCGCTCGGAAGTCATCTTTCAAGTTCAGTGCTTCTGGGTCTCGCATCAGGAAGAGCTCAACGAGGTAGTCGAAGAATGACTTCGGCGGCTTCTTGTTCGTCATGAAAGAGTCGAGCTCCACCAAAATGTTGGGCTTGAAGCCGACCATGTGCGTCTGGTTCAACACATTGCCGATTTTCAAGATCGCGCTGAGCAACTTGCGCAGTTTGAGGTTCGTGGCCAAACTGTCGCACGCTTCGACGAACGTCCGCAGCCGCTGCTGCACGAGCCCCAAATTCGCCGCGAAGCTCTGTTGAAAGGCGAACGCGCGCAGCCGCTGCTCTAAGAAAGGAACGCCGAGCAGAGCAGCAACGAACTGGTCCGGCTTGTCGAGTTTCACCACGTCGTTCGACGCGGTTATGTAGTTCTGCACTGCCGCAAACTCTTCTGACGTGGGCGCAATGGACGCCAGAATCTCTGCGTCCTCCAACGACAGCACCCGCGCATCGAGCTCCACGATTGCGTTGCGCAGCTCTGCGAAAGTAAGCCTGCTGAACTTTGACAGCGAGATACTCATGTTGTACGCCTTTTTGGCGTCGGGCAGCACAGACACCGTCGCGCGCTCCTTTTTCGGCGTGTCCTGAGACTCTGTCGGCCTAACATTTTTGCCGAAGGCTTCCTCGAGGTCGCCTAAGTTCAGCTGACTGAGCAACTCGCTGAAGTCTTGCGTGAAAACAGTACCGCGCGGATCTTCAACGGGATCCCAAGCTAATTTCTTGAATCGCGTGGGCCGCGCCACGACTTTTTTCGTGACAACCTTTTTCGGCGGTGCACTCACACTGCCCTTTGCCTTCGGCACTGGCGCCTTCTTGGCGGTAGACTTTGCTTTGACGGGCGGGCCGCCCTTCTTCAACGCGACTGCCTTTTTCGGGCTCTCTGGGACGGCCTTATGTTGCTCCCGCTCGACGGGTTCGACATCCGCAGGATCTTCGCTGACAACCGGCGCGAATGTCTTACTTGCGCGACGCTCTTCGCGCGATTGCAGCACGGCGCGAATCAGCTTATCAAACTCCACAGGATCATTCTTCAACTCCCAGTGGTTCTTTTGCGCAGCATTGATGAGGTGCTCGATTCCGCCTTTGCGAAACACGTCTTGAATGTCTTCGTCAAGCAAGCTGTCCGACTCAGACAAACTGTCAGATTTTTGGCCTCCACCGTCTTCGCTGTCTTTAGCCGCCAAATCGTCGGCGGCCTGGACGGGCTTGCGATTTTCTTCGTCGTGGCGCGACGGTTGTGTTTCCGAGACACCAAACGACGGAAGATCTGCGCCGTCGACCCCTCGCGGCGAAGTTAGATGTTGCATCCCACCGCCTAACTTCTGCGCAGCGGGCGCAGCGGCTGACGCGCCAGTATCCGCAGTCTTTTTAGATGGCGCCCTGCGCTGCTCCTGCCTGGTCTGCTTGTTTTCCGAGCCGAACGCGGTCCTACCGAACGCGCCGAACCCACCTAAGCCCGCAGTGGTAGTCGTCGGAATCGAGCCGAACACAGTGCCCGAAATTCCGAACGGCGTTCCGAGCATAGTGATTCCGTCACCTGCGTTCAACTGTTCGTTACTGCTGGCTGACAAAGACTTGACCAACTTAGACAGCGGCTGAATGTCGCTCTTCTTGCCGTTCATCCGCGACTCAACTTGCGCACAAACCGCGCCGACCCGGCAGAAGTAGCTTTCGAAGTTGCAGAAGAACGGCACGATGTCAAGCGCGGACCCGTTGTGGTCCACGAGTACGAGCGCGGGGGCTTGCCCTTCCTCGTCAGCGATGGTGGTTGTCCGCACGCCAAGAACGTTTTCCGCGGTCGCGAACTGACACTGGAAGCGGTGCGTCGCGGCGCGCTTTTTGTTGCTGTTTAGCAGCAAACTGATCCGCGACTTTCGAGCTTCCACCGCGCTCGGGCTGCCCGGCGCGCAGGACTCGTTCAGCAAGAAAGCCTCGTTTTTACCCGCTGTACTGAGCGAACCGCTTCGACTGTCCAAGCTGGCCTCGCCCATCGGAGCGACACGCAGGTCGTCTTTGTCTAATCGCTCGGGCAGCGCAGCCTTTTGAGTCTTAACAGACTGATGCGCTCTGGGCGGAGACTTAATCAGCTCCGACGGCTTCTCTTTCATGTCGTCGGAGCTTTGCGCACCGTGGCTGCCGTCATGGCGCTTCAGCTTCTGGTAAATGGTAAATATGCGTTTGCGCTTGCTCATTTTATCCTTCTCCATCGAGCCGAGCGAAGAGGAGCCCGAAGCAGCAGACGTCGGCGGAGGCGTTCTGTGCACGCCAATGTACTCGTTAAGCGAATCGCGGGGCGTCGCCTCGTTCTCAGCCGCATCGACTCCAGAGTCAGATTCGAAGTTGGCGCGTGACTCGAAGTTCGGAGTACGCTCGTTTAGCTCGCCAGATGGTTGTGTCACATCCGAAGCCGTCGACGCGCTCAGAAGCGCTGACTGTACTCCGTCAGACTCTTGGCGAGCGGAGGGATCGCTGGCCACGGAGGTGGCCATGTTGCTAAAATCGCCTAAAGCACTGTCGTCTGCCACAAGAATCGTCGGCCTCCGATGATTGAGACGTTGCGGCGCGACGGGCGAAACGATCGGCGCAACGCTCTGCTGGCTCGGCGAATCCGCTGCCGTCCTGTCACTACCACTGTTGAGCTCGTGCAGCATGTTATTTAATGCCAAGTCTCTTTCGCGCGGGAACGTCTTCTGCGAACGCTCGCGCTTCCACGTGAATTCTTTTCGACCAGTGCTGCGATGTATCGTGCTAGCGCGCGAATTCAAACGGTCTTCAAAGCGTGGGCTGATGGGGTATTCCTCGTCCTCCATGGAACCGAGCTCGATATGCACTTTCGCAGCGGCCGCGAGCACCTGCTTCCGCGAATCGTGTAGCTGCTCGTCGAACGAGGTGAAACTCGTGGAACTCTGCTTGGCTTCTGGCTCGACGTAAATGAAAGTTTTGGTTTTCTGCTGCTGCGCTGCGGGCGCATGAGCTCGCTGCGCGCTTTCACGCAACGACAGCTTGCTTTTCGACGCGGCGCTCTTGCGTTCTTCTTTCGACTTGCCAGCAGAGGCGCGCGCAGACTCTCGCGACGCAAGTTCCAGAAATTGAGATTGCGACGCTTCGCTTTTCTGGCGCTCTGCCTCCTTCGGCGGTGCGCTACTAAAATCAACTTTTAGGTGGCACCTGTCTGCGAGCTTCATGGCTTTTTTTACAAAGCTTTCGTCGCGTGCGTGCGACTTAACGTACGTTTCCGACGCTCGCGACAGCGACGCCGACGTCTTCGCGTTCTGTGGAGACTCGCTGATCTCAATAAACGGCACGCTGTTAAACACCCCCTTGTCCTGGGGTTGTGACGCCGCAGTAACCGGCTCTGCGGCCTTTCTATGCGCGTCGCGCTGCTTCAAGTTTTTCTCTGATACTTCGCGCGTAGCTAGCTGCAACGGCAGGTAAACGATAATTGGCAGCCCATTTAGCGAGGTAAGCACGGAGAGCGAGTCTTGTTCTAGGAACTGAAAAAATAGCGACTCGTAAGACAAGTCCTCGTTCCGGAGGTACACGTTTCCGTCCTCGTCCACTTCCGGAAGCGGCAAACTGTACTCTGTACAGTATTTAAGCATGGCAGGGTTTAGCTCCATCACGACGCGCGAACCCTCCGTATCGCTGAAGACGGCGTAGCCACCTACGACCTTTGGCAGATTCACGATTGGCACCCTGCGCGAGCTCCGTACCCAATCGCTGGCGGTCGACAGGAAACCAAACGAGCGCAAGTAGTTCAGAAACTGCAGCATGTCAGGACTCACAAACGTCGTCCTGACGAAAGGCAACACCGCAGTGGAAGGCAAGTTGTAGCCGCGCATGTCGTCGGCGTAGAGACACTTCATTCTGCTAACGCCGGCGACCGGTGCGTAGCCAAAAGCGGCCGTGGCCTTGCCTGCCTGCGCGTTGATCATCGCGCGATATGCGCTGAGCGAAGGCGCAATTCGCTCGTTCCACTCGAGCGGCTTAAGCCCACTGCCGTCCAGCTTTTGCGGGTCCACGACGACCGGCGTGAAGACGCCTTCAAAGATCGAACCCGGCGCCACCGGGCCCGCGTTGGCGGCAGCGCTGATGTCTGAAGCAAGCGTGTCCATCAGCTGGTTGATTTTAACGATTTCGGGGCTGTGTTGGCCCTTGACTTGGCAGAGCCCTTCGTACGCTTCTTTGTATAACTCGAGCGCGCGCCGGTACTGGCCGTACTGGTGGCATAAAATTGCGAGACTCAGCAATGCCTGCAGCACGGGGGCGTTGTTGCGGTCGCCCGCGCTGATGCGCAGCCGAATGTCGAGCGCGGAAAGCAGTGCGGAGAGAGCGTCTTGCGGGAAACCCAGAACGCGGTACACGATACCGACGTTGCTGTAGGCGTCCGCTACCAGTGCGCTGGGATTAGGCGAATCTACATCGCCATACAGCGCAATGCAAATGCTCAAACACTTTTCGACGTACTTGCACGCTCCCGCGAAGTTACGATGCAGAAAGAACTGATAACCGACTTCACTGATGATGTCGGCTGTGCACGGGTGTGCGGGGCCGTAGACGTACTCGTGAAAGCTGACCAGTTGCGCATAATATTTCTCCGACTCGGCTTCCTCGCCGTAGATCCAAGCGAGCTCCGCGTACTCTTGTACAATCCCAAGTAGCGTCGCGGGTTCGCACACGATCATCGGTCCGACGACAGAGTCCTCGTTCGACGCGAGCTTCTCCCACGCTTCGCGCATGCGGTACGGATCTTCGCGGTCAGACTTGATGATTTCATTGGAAATGTAGCGCAGCGTGTTGCTGATCAAATGGCCCAGCTCCTGCCTGTACTTGTTCCCGAGTGGCTTTTCGTCGGTCATCACGCAGGCACGGGAAAGAATTAGTAGCTCAAAGACCATATCCTGGTGCAACTCTGTGCCGTTAATGCGACGGACGTAGTTGCACGTGATGTCGTAGCACTGCGCCGCATAATATATCGCGTCAGCGTAGCGTTTATTGACGAAGGCTTTGTAAGAGCTCTTCCTGGCCTGCTGACGCAATTTCGAGACTTCGTTGTAGGTTAGACCCGACGCGCCGGTGAGCGTCTGAAAACTCTCGAGCAGCCGCATCGGGCCCAGCAACAAATCGGTGTTGCTGCTGAAAGAGGTACATAGCTGCTCGACCTGCGAATATAGCCCAAGGTAGTTCGCGCGTCGCGCGAGATTGTTAATCGAATCGCGGTTGAGCTCTGTGTTTGTTTGAATCGAACCGTCGAGGTTGCTGAAGTCGTCGAGCTTAAGGCGCGCGTCAGAGGAGAGCGAGTGCAGGCTTTTGATTGCGTCATCGGCGAGGTTAGGGTGGCCTAAATCAACCTCGATCTTATTCACAGCCATCGCTACGCTCTGGCCGTGAGCAGGAAGCTCAAACTAGAAGCTGCGTTGAAGTGCAAAGCTGCTTTTGGGTTTTACGATATAACGCAGATCGGCGCTGCTGCACTCATTTTTTTCGAAGAAAAACAAAGAAGACACATAGCCGGCTCGCAGACCGCACGCAGTAGCAGCCTCGCGCAGCCATGCGCAGGAGGCCGAACGCGGCGCAGCGCGCTGTTGTGCGCATTTATATTAATTTATTTTCGAACATGTTAGCGTAGTCGAATGGGCATTAATGAGAAGGCTCCGCTGTCGGAGCCTACGAGCCCTACCCAGTGCTTTTTCGCGCTGTACCGCTTTGTAAAGGCGAACCCGAGCGCCTCGACGAACCAGTTCGTCGAGTTGTACGAGCGCTACTTCGGGTTCAAAATGAACGAGAAACTGATGAAGATTGCAGGACAGGACATCCGAAGAGCGCTTGTCTCGGTGCCAGGGCCCGTTTTTTCGCTAAAGGACCTCAAATCTGGCGCAGTCGTTACGTCCATAAAGCTCATCGAGCCGCGCGCGAACTACCGCGTTTTGTGCGCCTTGCCAGACAGACTGACGTTCAGCCAGTTTGCGGAGTTTGTAGGTAAGAAACCCGCGCCGAAAAAGGCCGCGAGTTTGGAAGCGGCGCCACCAGCGCCGCAGTCGTCGGGGCAGCGGCCGGATCCGCGACACGAACCCGAACGCAGCGGAAAGAGGTCGGGCGCGCCGCTCGGCGAGCCGACGGCCGGCAGCCTAAAGCCAGGCGGGATCAGCCGCAAGGCGCAGCGCGCGCTTGCAGCGGCAGGCCACAGAGCCCCGCTCACCGCGGCGTACTCGGCGGACGACGCGGGCCATTTTTCCGCAAACCAGCCTCGCAGCTTTGCGCCGGACGTGTCTGTTTCTACGCAAGTGCATCCCAGTAATGCCAATAACATCTCTTCCGGCGCTCCCGAACGCGGGCCGCCGCTCGCCACGCACTTCACGCGCGACAGCGGCGGATTCGGACAGCCGCACCGCGCACCGGAAACCGGCTTCGCGGGCGCGCCGCTCACTCAGAAGCGCAACTACGCGGCCGCAGGAGAGGGCGGCTTGAAGGCGCCGAGGGTGCAGCCAGCAGACTGGCCGCCCGGGCAGACGCACGCGCACGTGAGCGTCGCACACGCGGCGCCCCACTTTGCGAAACCCGCGACGCCGTTTGACCCCATTTGGCTGCCGTCAGTTGCGATCAGGGTGACGCCCGACAGCGGCACGGGGCAACCGGTCAAGCTGCTGTTGCAGGCCATTCACCGCTTGCTGCTGGGCATCTTCACCTGCAGCACGCTGAGCCAGGGCGGCGACCCGAGCGACGACATCCGCCGTTGGCCGGGGATTACGTACGCCGCGCTGATCGGCATTTTTAAGAAGGACTTCGGCATCAATCTGCAGCGCGTCCGGTTCTCGTACCCGAACCTAGTCGCGTTATTGCTGGGCGAGGCGTGCCCGCGGCTTTTTAAATTGTATTATGCATCGCACAAAGGAGATAGTTTGCACATAAAGTTCGGAGACGACGCAGCAAATCCGAACTTCGACTTGATTAGTTCGAAGTCTGTGCCATAAACGTGAAAAATGCGCAGCCAAAATCGCGAGTTTAGTTACAGTTATGTCTTGTATTTTCTCATTTCTGCAAATTCGGAACTAGACGAGCTGCGAAAATGGTCAACTTCACAGTCGCGGAACTGCGAAACATAATGAGCAAGCCCGCGAACATTCGCAACATGTCGGTCATTGCGCACGTCGACCACGGCAAGTCGACGCTGACCGACTCACTCGTGTCGAAAGCCGGCATCATCTCTTCGAAGACGGCGGGCGACGCGCGGTTCACGGACACGCGCGCAGACGAACAGGAGCGCTGCATCACGATCAAATCGACAGGCATCTCGATGTTTTTCGAGTACGAGCTCGTCGAGGGCAAGGGCAAGGAGCCGTTCCTGATCAACCTGATTGACTCGCCGGGGCACGTCGACTTCTCTTCGGAGGTCACTGCCGCGCTGCGCGTGACCGACGGCTCGCTGGTGGTCGTCGACGCTGTGGAAGGCGTCTGCGTGCAAACCGAGACGGTGTTGCGACAGTCGCTTGCGGAGCGTGTGCGTCCGATTCTGCACATGAACAAGGTGGACCGCTGTCTACTGGAACTCAAGCAGACGCCGGAGGCGATGTACGACACGTTCCGCCAGAACATCGAGAACGTGAACGTGATCATCGCGACTTACCAGGACGAGTCCTGCGGCTTCGACGCGCAGGTCGCGGCAGAGAAAGGCACGATCAGTTTCGGTTCCGGTCTGCACGGCTGGGCGTTCACGATCGAACGTTTCGCGAAGATCTACGCAAAGAAGTTTGGAGTTTCCAAAGAGAAGATGATGACCCGTCTGTGGGGCGACAACTTCTACAACCCGAACAAAAAGACTTGGACGACGCAGCTCGACAAGTCCGACCCGGGCAGCTGTCGCGGGTTCTGCCAGTTCATTCTAAAGCCGATTTACGGGCTGTTCGAGACGACGATGAAATCGGACAACGCGCAGGAGAAGGCGAAGCTCGACAAGATGCTGCAGACGCTCGGCGTGGAGCTCAAGGGCGACGACAAAAACTTGATGGGCAAGGCACTGCTGAAGCGCATCATGCAGATCTGGCTGCCAGCCGGCGACACGCTGCTCGAAATGATCGTGACGCACCTTCCCTCGCCGACGGTCGCGCAGCGCTACCGCTGCAGCACGCTGTACAGCGGGCCGCAGGATGACGAGGCCGCGCAAGCGATTCGCGCGTGCGACCCCGAGGGTCCGCTGATGATGTACGTCTCGAAGATGGTCCCGAGCAGCGACAAAGGGCGCTTCTACGCGTTCGGCCGCGTCTTCTCGGGCACCGTGGCGACCGGCCAAAAGGTGCGCATTCTCGGGCCGAAGTTCCAGCTCGGCTCGAAAGAGGACTTGCACATCAAGAACATTCAGCGCACGGTGATCATGATGGGCCGCACCGTCGAGGCGGTGCAGGATGTGCCCTGCGGCAACACCTGCGCGCTCGTCGGCGTGGACCAGTTCCTGCTGAAGTCTGGCACGCTGACTACTTGCGAGACGGCCTGTACGTTTAACGACATGAAGTACTCGGTCTCGCCAGTCGTGCGCGTCGCCGTCGCGCCGAAGGACAACAAAGACCTGCCGAAGCTCGTCGAGGGCCTCAAGAAGCTGTCGAAGTCCGACCCGCTAGTCGTCTGCAGTTCCGAAGAGAACGGACAGCACATCATCGCGGGCTGCGGCGAACTGCACGTCGAGATCTGTCTGAAGGACTTGAAGGAGGAGTACGCGCAAGTCGAGATCATCGTCTCCGAGCCGGTCGTCTCTTACATGGAGACGATCACGGCCAGCTGTCACGAGCCGGGCATGACCAAATCCGCGAACAAACACAACCGGTTGTACGTGACTTCCGACCCGCTCGACGACCAGCTTGTCGTCGACATAGAGGAGGGCAAGGTCACTTGCCGCGACGACTCGAAGGAGCGCGCGAACTACCTCGCCGAGAAATATGGCTGGGACAAGAACCACGGAATGAAGATCTGGTGCTTTGGACCGGACACGATTGGGCCGAACCTGTTCGTCGACGAGACGAGCGGTCTGCAGTACGTACACGAGATCAAGGACCATGTCAACGCCGGCTTCCAGTGGGCGTCACGTGAGGGTGCGCTTTGCGAAGAGAAGATGCGCGGCTGTCGGTTCAACCTCGTCGACTGCACGCTGCATACGGACGCGATCCACCGCGGCGCCTCGCAGATCTTGGGCACCACGCGCCGCGCCGTGCTAGGCGTTTCGCTGAACTCCGAGCCGCGCTTGGTCGAGCCAATCTTTTTGGTCGAGATCACCGTGCCTGAAGAGAACATGTCGGGCGTCTACTCCGTGCTGAACCGCCGCCGCGGCGTGGTCATCTCGGACGAGATGCGCATGGGCACGCCGCTGCACGAGATGCGCGCGTACCTGCCGGTCGCGGAGTCCTTCGGCTTCACCTCCGACTTGCGCGAAAAGACGCAGGGCAAGGCTTTCCCGCAGTGCGTCTTCTCGCACTGGGAGCAGGTCCCGGGCAACCCGTTCGACCCCAGCTCGTCGCACCACGCGACGGTGCTGGCGATTCGCAAACGCAAGGGGCTGAGCGAAGTGATCCCGACCGCAGATCACTTCCTCGACAAGCTGTAAATCTCTTGAACCGTCGCCACGCAGGCGCATATTTTAATAATCGATTAAGCAAATCTGTTGCCTGACCAATGGACTTCCGGGAACCGGTGGCCGCCGTTCGCGCGAGTTTCGCGCAGGCCGACTACGCCGGCACTGTTCGCCGCTGCGACGCACTCGCGCGCGAAGTCCGTGCCATTGGCGCCGCTGCGCTTCCGCGCAAAGCGGTCAAGCAGCTCGCGGACGCGCTGCTGCTCGGCGTCGCCGCGAGCTGCCATTGGTGCAAGCTCGGAGCAGTCTCGCTGCTCGACAACGGGCTTTTCGACTGCGGTTTCAGTCTGGTCCGGTTGGCGCTCGCGTGTCGCGCGTTCAACGAGAAATTGCTCGAGAACTGCATCACTTATTTGATTTGCTACGCGCAGCAGCGGCCGGCTGACGCGGCGGTAGCGGAGAAACCGTTTCGGCGCTGCATGCGCCAGCGCTTTGGCGCGCAGTACGAGCACCACTCCGCGCTGAAGACTGCGGTGCGAACCAACTTGCCGCAAGTGCTCAGTGAGCTCAAGGCGGCCGAAGCTCGGCGCGACGGTGGGGCGACGCGCCGCATCCTGTACGGCGCCGCGTTCTTGTACGTGACGCGCGACATCAGCCACTTCGCGTACATGACGCTCGTCGCCTGCGTGCTCCACGCGAGCGTCGAAGAGACGCGCAAGGCACCGGACGCCGCGTACCTGCAGCAGCAGCTGCCGCTGCTGCTCTACGCGCAGCGCTTTGCGCTGCACAACCTCGGCCTCGGGGCGCGGCACGAACTGTTTTTCTCGAACGCAACCGCGCTAAAGTCGCTGCTGGCGTCGGACGTGCCGTTCTACGTGCACAAAACGCTGCCCTCGCTGGCAACGACGATCACGAAGGTGGCGCTGCAAGACCCTTTGCACCTCTTTTACAAGCTGTTTGCGCTAGACCTCGCGCCGCGTCTGTGCTCGGCGACGGTCGCGCAGGACGTCGACCGGCTAAGCGCCGCCGTCGCACAACGCGCATCTCTGAGCAGCGACTCGGCGTGCGCCGTGCTCGCGCGGCTCCACCGCCTCGCGTACCACCTACTGGTCTTCCCGGGCTGGAGCTGCGCGACGACGGGCGACGCTGCGCATTGCAGAGTTGCGCGAGAGGCGCGGAACCAGCGCTATAGCCCGCTGGTCGCCGAGTTCGCCGAAGCGCTGGCCGCGCTGCGCGCCGAGCCGGAAGCGGCGCAGCTACTATCTCCGCGGAAACTGAGGCAGCTGCTGCAGCAGGTCGCGGGCCGGCTCGCCGCGAGCCCGCAACTCGTGCCAAAGAACCTGCATCTGTTGCTCGTTGCGAGTTACGCGCTGCTCGCGCGCAGCAACCGGTCCGCGAAGCAACTCGACGCCGTGTTCGCGGAGCTGCTCGCCGCGCTGCACGACTCGCCCGCGATACTTGGGGTGCTCGCAGCGCTGCGCGGCGACGCGTGCGCAACGCCGCACCTCGCGCAGCTGCTCGAACAGCAGCTCGCACGCCCAGCGGTCTCATCTGCGCCGTGCGCAGCCGACAGCTACGAACAGTTGCTCGCGCGCACAAACTCCGTGCTCGACGCGCTCCAGATCGACGCCGTGCCGTACCTGTCCGCGCGCGAAATTTCAACGCTGAACGTCAGCGCGGCGGAGCGCAACCTGGCGCGCTTCAATGAGCGGGCTGCCAGATTGCGCGGCAGCGCTTGTGCCGCGCAGCGCTGACACACACTGCTTTTTGCATGTTTCCCACAGCAGACAGGCTGTGTCTGCGCGGTGCTCGCGGCCTCTAGCCGCGCGGATTGTATACTTTCGTAAAAGGGTGCGACTCGAGAGTTTGCTCCGCCTGGGGGCGGCTGGTGACTCGAGCGGCAATTCATGCACTGCCATTCTCGGACGACCTAGCTGCGAATGAGTATGAATAAACGGCACGAGAGTTGACGCACTAAGTTCGTGCAAACTGAACGGCTTCGCATCGAGCTGGCTACGCTTCGACTGCGAAGCGCGCCGCGCAGCGCGCGACTGATTCTAGCGGTGCGGGCGAACGGAGCGCTTTTTGCACGCGAGCCGCTCGCGGCGCGCAGTGACGGCAGCTGCTGGCACTGCAGCGCGCGCGTTCCGCGCGCAAATCTGGCTGCTCTCGCCGCGAAATAGCGGCGCAGCTAGGAACGGCAGCTAGTAACGGCAGCTCGCGTCGGCGCTGAGCACGCCGGCGACCGCGTCGAGGCTGATTTCGAACACCGAACAGGGGAAAGGAACGGAGAAGTTCCGGAGCGTGTGCGGGTGCACAACGCCTATGATGCCGAGCGCTTGGGCAGGTTCGGAGGACGGCAACTCGGGCTGCGCCGCGGCGCAGTACATCACGCGGAAAGCGCGGTTCTTCAAAAACAAGCCGTCCTCGTACTCTTCGAACCAGTAGTTGTACGCCGCGGCGGAGTTGAAGTTCTCTGCGTGCAGGAACTCGAACCCGAACTTGCGCAGCACGAACGCGAGCAGCCCCTGCACCACTTCAAACCCCGCCTTGCTCGTGTCCGCGTAGAGTGCGGCAAGGTAGCAGAACTGTGCGGCTTTGGTGTCGCTCGCGTCGTTCAGACAGCCGACTTCGCCGAGCTCGAAAAGCTTGATGGGAACTTTCGCGGCCTGGTTCGCCGAGAGCGTGCGCAGCAGCCCGGGCAGCAGCGTGGTGCGCACAACCTCGAAGTCGGCGTTCTTCGGTTCGCGCACTTCGATCGGCACGAGATCTGCGCAGTACGCGCGCGTGTCGAAGTTGTCGAGCGCGCGCTGCGGCGCAGCGCGTCGCAAGAAACTCGCGCAATCGTTGCGACTGACGAGCGCAAACGTCAGACACTCGCGCCAGGAGCAACTGCTCAAGAGCCGGCGCGCGCGGTTCGAAATAAACGTGAGTTTCTGCAGCGTCGCCGCAGGCTGTTTGCCGTAGCTCACGTTGTTGTAGCCAAAGCCAATGCCGATGTCCTCGATCACGTCCACGGCGTGCAGCACGTCGCGTCGCGAAACGGGGCACTCGACGGTGAGCACGTCGCCGGTGACCGCGACGCACTCGAGCCCCATGCGAGGCAGGTAGTGGTTCTTGATTTTTGCCGAGTCTAGCGCAGGCACGCCGAGCACGCGCTCGACGTCGCGCAAGCTCACTTCGAGCGAAGTGGTGTTCAGCAGCGGCGTGACCGCCGAGTGGTGCTGCGCGTTCTGCTCGAAGTCCGGCACGCCCGGGTGTGCGGCCTCGTACTCAACGCGCACCGGCTCGGTGACATCGGCACGGCCAGTCAGCGAAACAAAGAAGCAACTGATCACGTCGAGCACCGTAAGCATCTTGTAGTAGTCAGAGCCCGTGATCTCGACGAAGACGCTGGTCGTCTCCTGCGTCAACTTGCAGAAGTCCGCGTTGACAATGGGCGGCACGGAGCAGACGCGCGCGCGGCCGTCCAGCACGACGGGGAACTTTGGCTTCTGCGCGATCAGGTCGAGGTAAGGCTTGAGATAAGAGTCTTGCAACGCCTCGAGCATGCCTTCGCCGTTGACCTCCGCGGTTTGCGCAAGCGGCACGAAGCGGAAGCCGTCGCGCCGGTCTAGCGCGGTGTAGACCAGCGGCGTCTGCAACTTGTCCATGTCGTGCGTGCCGATCGCGACCAGCCGGCGGCGGCGGCCGATGTTGAAGTTCAACTTGTCCTGCAGCTCGATAAAGCTGCGGAGCGCCGGCGGCGAGAATGCGACACCGCGGAAAGCCGCGGCAACGCAGTACGGGCGCACGTCGGCAGCGGCGGCCTCGACGGTCAGCGTGATGCGCGGCGCGCAAGCGTGCTTGGGACGCAACGCCAGCGCGCGCGCCGGATTCTCGAAGCGCACCAGTGCGTCGGCGATCAGCTCAGTGCTCAAAAGGTCGCACCGGTTTGCAGGGATCTCAATTTTCAACTTGAGCTCGTCGCCCTCTTCGTACACGTCGTCCAGCTCGAGGCCGAATTCGAAGCAAACATTCTCGAGCCACTTCACTAGCGCTGGGCAGCTGTCGCTCTCTAGTTCGACGCGGCCCGAGACGCGCTCTAACAGGTACTGCGCATCAACAGTGACAGTCGGCATACGGCGGCTGGCGCAAATACGGAATACTGCGGCCTGCGAAAAACAAAATTATTCGATTAAAAAAATTAACTTTTCTTTTCTTTTCTTTCCATTAATTAGTTTCAAAATCTGAACCAGTGATCAATAACAATGGAATTAATGCTGCTTCAAATACAATCATCAATAATTCGACTNAAAATTATTCGATTAATCGACTCTCGCGATCGCTGCCGCGCGGCGTGCGCGCAGCGTGCCGTGGCGAGTTGCGCGGACATAGCTAGCGCGCGCACTGCTCCGCGAAAAAGTCGCTTTGCTTGAGCCGCCTGTGCAGCCCGGGGTTGCGCTCGAGCAGCCGCTTGTTCAACAACAGCAAGTGCGGCTGCAGCTCGCGTGCTTTAGCGTTGCGGCGGTCGCAGGCGACGCAGGCGACCAGGAACGACATGTGCGAGTTGAAGCACAGCCGCTCCAGGTTCTTCTTAACAAAGCTAAATACGGCCTTCTTCATCGCGTCGTCGCGGTTGCCGTAGGCCGCCTGCAGCAGCTTCGAGAAAATCAGGTCCGTAGGATACTCCGCGCCGAGCGACTCAAAAAAGCGGAGCAGCGCGGCAAACATTTCGTCCGGGTAGAACTTGCGGCTGTCGAAGTTCTCCAACAGCAGCAGCAACAACCGGTCGCCCTCAGAGCTTTGCGACCCTGTGCCGGCAGGCTTGTACCGATGCAGCCGGTTTGCGAAGTCGAGCTCCTGCGCGAATAAGTCGAGACTGGCGACGGCAAGCAGCAGCGCGCGAGCTAGCTTGGCCGGCGCCGTTTTGCACGCGCGCACGAGTTCATGCAACAACCGGCTGCGCTGCTCGACGGCTGCCCGCCAGTCGAGCACGGAGATGAGCTTTGCGAGCGCCTGCGCGTCCGCAGCCAAGCGGTGCGAGATCCGCAACACCAAAAAAGCTTCGGTTTCGCGCGATCTGCCTGCGAACGTCTGGTTGATGCGCAACGGTTCTTCGCCGCGCACAGCGTAGAAACGGTTCAGCAGGAACCGCACGTCCGCGACGGAGAACAGCTCGCTCACAAAGAACTCGAGCACGCGAACCGATACCTTGTCGCCGCAGAGATGCTCGACCCAGGTCAGATCGAGTTTTCCATCTTCAGTCCTCTTGATGTACGCGTCGAAACAAGCCGACGGCGCGCCGACGGCGCGCAGAAAGTGGAACGCTGAGAGGAGCAGCGCGCAGAAGCTGTCAGACTTCAGCGAGCGCGACACGGCTTCCTGCTCTGCTTCGAGCAGCGCGAGCAGCTGCGCGCGCACAAAATCGCGTGCGCCGTCCGTGTCTGTCAGCTGATGCGAGAGCAGCTCCAAACAGCAGCGCGCGACGTGCGAAAATCGTGCGTCCTGCAGTAGCGCGAGCAGCTCGCGGTCCTCTGGCTCAAACGCAACTTTGACCGCCGCTGCCAGCTCGCTCTTCAACTTCTGCGCCTTGGCCGCGATTGCTTCGCCGCAGCCCGCAATGCACGGGTACGCAACAACTTTGGCGACACTGCGGAACAGCAGCTCAAGGAAGTAACTGCCGTACTGGTTTAGGCCGATCTGCACGAGGTTCCAGCGCAGCGCGCCAACGAAAAGCGTGTAGAGATCGAGCGACAGCTCGCAGAGCTCGAGAGCCTCGGCCGCAAGCAGTTCGGGGTCTGCTGTGCCGTCACGGAAACTCGCAGCAAGCCGCTCGTCGACCGCCTGCAAGAAGCGCTCTAGTTGCCGACTGCAGCCCTGCTCGACGGCGCAGTTCTCGACGTTGGTGCGGTTAACGACGGCCTTCAACTGTCGCAGCAGCGAGACGGCGACCGCAGTGCTGTTGTGCTCCGAGTCACGCGCAAGCTGCGACAGGTTGGTGATGTAGGTCTTCATTTTTTGGAAGTTAGCGTCTCGCGAGTCGAACGTTTTTGGCTTCGGCGGCTTCTCGAGCTTGAGGCGCTTCGAGTCGTCGTCCGTAATCAAGCAGATATTGGATTTAGGCATGGCGCGCCAGACAACACTCGCTCGACTCGGGCACAGCTAAAGCTGCATACCGAAATTATTAAAATCGGCGCAAAATAAGGCAGCCGCCCGCGCAGAGAGACTGGAAGCTACGCGCTGCATGAGTACGGCCGTAGAGCTAGCGTCTTACTGCAAGCTGGGCGTTTGCGGCGCCGTGGCGCCGGCCGTATCGCGACTGGCGATCGGTGGGC